TGATGTCTTTGAGCTAAAGTGTACACCCCCCCACGGTTTAGACGCGGCGCTCATGCAGGTGTCTCTTTCCGTTCCAACGCTGCTACACGTAATATTTTTAATTTATTAAGCCTATAATTTATTTTTACTCAGTAACGGATATGATTTAAAATGTAGCGAATTACAATTCTTTTTTAAAAACTTACTCAAGTAAAAGTAAAAGTACAGCTTTTAAAAACGACTTAAAAAGTATAAATTTACAAAAAAGCTACTCAATTACAGTAACATGAGTAAATGTAATTTGTTACTTTCCACCTCTGCCTAACGGATTATTTACCCCCTGCATCTTTTGAGAAGTGCAAAGGTGTGCTTTTTACAGCTTTAATCTTGGCAGTGGAGAGGAACAACATCATATATGACATCAAACAGTGATATCAAAATTGATCTCCTTCTTTTTGGTGTAATGGCGGATGGCATAAGCAAACTGTGACCTTTAATGTCTTGAGGGATTTCGTGATCTTTTGGCTGAGACTCTCCCGATGTGGACTGGCACGCAGCAAATCACGTGGGTAAACCGCTCCACTGCCATTGCTCGTAGCTGACGCCTCCAATGTAAACGTGGCGTAAGACAAGCAAGGACCCCCAACGCCTTCTGCCTGCATGCACATATTAAAAGTGACTCATTACATCTATATGTGAACAGAAATAAAAGGGAATAGATAAAGGTTTTTGCTCTTATTCCCCTTGTTTTAGGGGCTAATATTTACAAATAAAATTTTGGATAACCTCAGCAGGCAAAATTGTGAGGACCCCCTTGGGGGTCAAGGACCCCAGATTGGGAACCATTTATCAATTTCTATTAAAACAAACAAAACAAAAAATGATCCAATTCTACTGAAAGCCAGCATTTAATAAAGCCCAAATGCACTGAGAAATACTATAAATAAATACCATTTAAACACTCATCTATAATACTGGATGTATGAGGCTTAAGCACAGCAGCACAGTGAGTTGAGTCTTGCTGTATAATCAGAACTATGTACTTCAGTGACTTAAAAGTTATGCTTTGTACTTTTTTGTGTTATTTTCCTGCACCATTTGAGAACCAGGCCACCCACAGGTTATTGTGAAACAAACAAAAGCAACAACGCTGCAATAATTAAGCTAAAATGCGTGCTTAGCTCACCAGGGTGTTGTTGTGTTTCATCAGTGTAATACAACGGCCCAATTCTTTACATTTATTGAGTGCTGCATTTGCACCTTCTCAGCATCAGATTCACAAAGCAGACAACACTGACTATGTGATGGCACAAACACATCCACCAAGTTCAGCAGGTGTCAGCAATTTGCAATTAGTTCTCCTTGTTGCTTCACCCAGAGATGAACTTCTGCCACAAATAGAGCAAAGGCATTTTCTCACAGTGAGCTGCAGATCTTAAAGGATGAAAAACAAAGATACGCCTTAAAACCACAGAAACTATGTACGATGTCAAGTAAAATTCTGTGTTTGCTATGGCATGTCTCTAAGAAATTTTAAAAGATGGCCACTTGATTTCTATCTCAGACAACTGGGATCAATGTAGCCTGGCAAGCCAGACTAAATAATATAATTATTTAGTCTGGCAACACTCCATTGACGGCTTTCGGTCGTGGGGCGGGTTCTACCGTTGTCTTTCAAAGAATCTCTGCATGCTACTGGAAAATGAACAATGTCACACACTCACCGCAACAGATGTTGGTAAACGAGGCGGTCCGCTGTTGAAGAAGGTGAAAATGCATCTTTTTTCTAAATAAAAGACTTAAATACAACTATCTGCTCCTGATTCTAATAAAGGTCCTGTCCAAATAGTCCAAAATTGATGTGAAAGCCATTTCGAACGAGCTGTCGCCATCTTGTTCCACTCTGTTGCATCTTCCCGCCCACCATACAAATAGAGGGCCCTGATTAGCCCACAAAGCAGATAGAGCATTGTGATTGGTCCACTATTTTGGACCAATCACAGTTCTTTATGGGTTTAAAACCCCTATAGAGAGCTGCAATTAGCCAGCCGGAATGCTGCTAGGGGCTACAGATGTTCCAGTGGAGCGTTCTTAGACCAGGGTGTCCGCGGGGTTTTAAAAAGTATTAAAAAGTGATAAATAAAAATAGTCAAATTTAAGGCCATTAAAAGTGTTAAATTTGGTCTCAGAGGTATTATATTTTCCAAATTAGGTATTATTTTTTCAGACTATCAGATGTCGTATTCTCAACATCGACATAGAAATATATTCCGAATGAAATGTTTTGAACAATTATAAAAATAAAACGAGCCGATTATTTGCTCCTCCCACTTGCGCTGCCCTGAGTTGCAAATGAAGCGCTCCTCCACAGTGTTGCCAACTTGGCGACTTTGACGCTATTTCTAGCAGCTTCTCAGACCCCCTTCTTGACTTTTTAAATCTTAAAAGTACCAACTACCTAGCGAACACCTCAGAAACATCTCTGGTAACCCTTAGCTACTTTCTGGATAACTGTCGTCGACATTTCCTGCAAGTTAGCTAAACACTCCGGACCGTTCTTCAGGACATTAGGAAAGGGAATGATGTAGTGATGTGTCAGTCGCTACAGAAACAGCTCTCAGAGTCGGCTCCCTGTTGGAGTAACCAGAGTGAGTGACACACACACCGCACCTGCGGACTCCTGAGCCGATAAAAACGGCTAAATGTGCGCGTGCGGCGCGTTAAACACATGTGCAGCTTGCCCCCGATTGTTGTGAGACCGGGTTGGGGGGTGGGGGGTGCAGCTGTGGTTGGGACAATTATTACATTAACTGATGGACTTGTAAATAAATAGTTTATAAATAAGGTAGAAATAAGTTCCTCACGCTGATAAATAACTAATCTCTCTGAGGACACGGTGCTAGTGCACTCTCCTACAGCACCTTGACACGACTCAATAAATGTTATGCAAAATTTAGTGAACATCAATTTGCATGTATTTGTTATAAATGCCACTGTATAATTCTTGCTGTCAGTATTAGCAAGATATTGGTATTTGGGTCTGTACTGGTTAGACTTAAATGAGTTAAACCAAGGTCTATAGCCCTTGGGTCATAAACTAGGAGCTGTAAGTATATTGGTCTTTTTATACTGGGAATCAGGAGTTATTTTAGTGATCATCTTGTTTCTTGTTTATTTTTGCCCTGATTGTGCCCTGAGCAGTTTTATGACTGAATAAAAATAAAAAAATAAAAATCTACATAAATTGAAAAATCGTATTAAATAATCGAGATCTCAATTTCAGTCACAATAATCGTGATTATTGTTTTTGCCACAATCGAGCAGCCCTACTTAAGCATATCCGGTCACATAATGATGACGTCATATTCAGTGGTCGTTCTGCATCATTTCAGGCCTCGTGGTCAACTGTCTGAACCGCTGAAAAGAAGTGCCTGGCTTATTGTAAAATAAATATGTGCAATACGTTGTCAACATCAGTGAGTCTCTAAGTCTATTCTTTTTGTATGTTATATATGTTAAAATATGTGTAAATAGGTCGCTGATTAACACATGCAATTTAGTGTTGTGATGGTTTTAAAAAAATTCTGAAGGTAGTAAAAAAAGTATTAAAAAGTAGTAAATTTTACTTAAGGATTGCTGTATATACCCTGTAGACCAAACTTTGCAAGGCAAGAATTTGGTCTTGTTCTCTAGGCTAGGTAGGGATCCATGTATAATGTAATACTAAATCCATGTATAATATCTCTTTTAAACAGTGGCAAACCTTTGTGAAATATAAATGTGCAAAATCTGAATTTAGGCATGTCCTTGATAGTTGGAAAACCCACAGATGCAGTCTCCAATTAGCCATTGGTGAATTTGGGCTGCATTGATTACTTTGGCAGGGGTGTGCCCAAATCCAGGGGCTGCATCCTATCGAGTCTGCTTAATGCATCTTCGTTTCTTGCAAATTTCGAGGACAGGTCTGATGCATCCACATTGCCGAAGGCTATCCCATGATTTATTGTGGGCCAAATGAAACATTTTTGTTTTTGTTATGATGCATCTAAGTATATTAATATCTAGTGGGAAAAAAAGAAAACAGGTTATGTTGTTAGGATTATTAATTTGCACATTTGTTCTTTAAATACACATTTGTAAAAAATAATAAGAAAATATTCATAAGTAAGCTAGTATAACGGGTCCCATATTTCTTCATACATTACAGCTAAGTTTAGTTTTGACTTCTTTTTAGCGCTGCCATGGTTGCTAGGCGACAAGACATACCTGAGATACGGGTGGAAATAAGTATGAAGGCTTGACCATTCAAGTTTACAAATGCTCACTTCAGGTCTTAGTGGTCAGGGAAGGGCACAACCTACATGTATGTGGACTGGGTTGGACAAGTACTCAGCAGAATACTACACCATTGGGACACATCCACTGATCCAAAACTTTGGAAGTTGTGCTGGGCTTCTAGTGAAAATATTTTTTAATTTAATAATAATTAAATAATAATTAAAGCAAGAGTTCGGGCTGCACAGTGGTGCAGTGGTTAGAGCTGTTGCCTTGCAGCAAGAAAGTCCTGGGTTCGCTTCCCGGCCTGGGATCTTTCTGCATGGAGTTTGCATGTTCTCCCTGTGCATGTGCGGGTTCTCTCCGGGTACTCCGGCTTCCTCCCACAGTCCAAAAACATGACTGTTAGGTTAACTGGTCTGTCTAAATTGTCTTTAGGTGTGAGTGTGTGTGTGTGCATGATTGTTTGTCCTGTGTGTCTCTGTGTTGCCCTGCGATGGACTGGCTCTCTGTCCAGGGTGTACCCCGCCTGATTGCCCATTGATCGCTGAAGACCCTACATGGACAAAGCGGGTTCAGAACATGGATGGGTGAATGGAAAACAAGAGTCCTTGATGTTACGCAATAAAACCAAACAGCAACACCAGATTAAACAGCCCAGTGCTTAAGAGATACAGGTGAGTATATTGGGTGGTTTTCCTAGTAGTTAAAAACAAAGGTAAGAAATCAGAGACAGGAGGCTGATGTCAAAACTGGAAGCCTGGTTTTAATTGATATTGCTCTACTGTAATAATCCTGAAAGGCATAGTTTGGAGTAACACATGTAATGTTTCAACCCATAATAGTTTAAGTTACAGAATCATAGGTCTCTCTTTTTGCAATGAACAATATATACAATGTGAAATAAATACATTTACACAAATGGACAGTATTGTTGGAGCACACTTGTATGATACACGTCACAAAAATATACAGGTTATTATTTGTCTTTTTTTAATTATTTATTTACTGATGTGAAGCACATCTAAAATCTACGGACATGTTTTCAGTAATACTACAAGGTCCTTCCCCATCAGCAACTTTTCTCCACTGCTCAAGGGCTTTTAAAAATCCTTAGATATCCACTTTGTTCCAATGTTTAAAAAGTTTCCCTTTGTCTTTAGTATTTTTTAATACATCTGCTAATTCAGACAAGCTGCAGCACGAGGGGCAGTTACAGTTGGGGATTAAAATAAACTGAGGGACAAATCATCGTAGAGCCCAACAAAGCTTTACCAAGATTCAGGGGAAGATGGTCAATCTTATTTTGTCACAGCGACTCAAAAACGGATCCCTCGGCTTCAGCTAAACTAATTTTACATGGTGTGTTTGCAGCTAATGGATCTAAGCTCAAAATGAGGGCAACGACGCGACGCCCAAAGTGCAAACAGGTCAAAGTTCAGCAAATACAGAGGCGGTCAGTCTCCCACTGCCCCCTGGTAGCTTTGCAACCAAACACAAAAAAGTACAACTTTTGCCTTTATATCATACAGCCTTCAGACATTTCCTTAGTGAGGAAAAACAGTGCTCGTCGTAAAATGCTTCCTGCTGCACATCGTAGCTACAAGCAACAGCTTAGAAGCATTGGCCTCCATTTTTTACCCCGCAGTCATTTAGATTTTTACAGCCATGAAAAAACGTTTCCAGTTGAACAGGTCAGAGGTTCACAGGGACAGCTTAAAAATAAATAAAAAGATAAACAGAACAGTAACAAAACCCAAACAACAGTAAGAAGAGAGCACCTTTCTGGCATCAATTTTGTGCGGAATAATGAATGTACAGTGAACGGTATTAAACACCGTCCTCCTGACAAGGGGCCCGAGTTTGTATTTACACACAAAAGAGTTTATTCGCAACTTCAGCTGCAAATGTTCCTGTATTTACTCGCTAAAAAAACTTGAAAAAAGTCCCCAAAGTCTGAGCAGAAGTGTGATTTTATTAGACAGTAGTACCAACAATGTATGATGTAGAGAAAGGTTGTTTTGCCCCTTTAACCCATTCCTGTTGGAAAAATATAATTTCCCAGTGAGGAAGCTAAAACTGGAATTCTCCTTTAGTCGTTTTTGAAACAGTAAATGTAATGACTGAGCTGAGCTGCATGGAGGACAGATATGTACATAAAATAAAAGACTACAGATCCGAATAGCTCAACTGTCTTTTTATTTAAACCTAAAGATACACAGTCTATTGTTTATTCTATAGGAAGGTTACACAAATGATCCCTGTTTAAATACTTGTTAAGGTGTTTATTTAGATACTTGATATTTAATTACGTATAGCTTGGAAGGGGTATGTACTTGGATCCTGCCAGTTAAATTCCTAATAGAGTCTTATGTCCGGTTTGGTTTCGTTACGAGTGGATCTAGCGCTCAGAGTCCTAGCAGACGGATCTGCCGGACGGACAACATGGCCTCTACTCTAGTCTGTTTGTCTACAAGAGAAACACACGGCACAGAGACGGTAATCACCACAAGCAAAAGCACACAGCAGCGCCTTAAAGGTTCCAACAGAGGAGGAAAACTCAAACCGAAAGAGGATTTCAAAACATAAACTTGTCCAATAAAAGAAAAATCTATTTTTTCTTTACAGATAAACGGCAAACATGAAACACACAAGCTGAGCTACATTTTTTTCTTTGCTTTTCTTGAATTTGTTTACAATAAAATGTATGTTAGAATTACAATCTGTTTAATTTACAATATACAGGGTTAAAGAAGGTAGAAAAAATACCCTTAATCATAATAATACTGATACAGAACGTGTGGTGTTAGAGGCCAACTACACTTACACTGCTGCACTCCTCAGCTCTTTTACAGTAGATGTTGTCAAGGTAACCTGTTTTGGCATTCTTATTTGGCATCAAAAAATACTCAAACCATAAAAAAATAATCACTTAGTTGATTTCGTCAACTCTACCAGCTGAAGCAGCCAGACGGTTCGTGTTTCGTCAATGAGATAAAAGTCTCTCCATCCAACAGAAAAATGCAACACAACTTTCTATCAGCTCAGCTTTTCCATTTCCTGTTTCTAGAAAAAAAAGCTGTGTGGATTTAAAGGAGCAAATGTGCAGACAGTTAACAAAAGTCGAATCTTCATTTAAAATCTGTTAAAGCTACAGTTTAGTTAAAATCACATCTTAAAATCCTAATCTGACAGACCTTAACAGTTGGGTTTACATGAAGGATGATGATTACAATGAGCAAATTTGCTAGATAGATAAAATGCAAATACAAAAACAAATGGTAACAAGTATTTGATATAATTCCACTCTCATCTGTAAAACTGTCAAAATGTTTAACGCTACATGATTTTTAAGATTTCAACTTTAAATTATTTCAATAAAAAAGATGTTAGCAAGCATAGACTGTATAAGAATGTTAAACCTGTGCTGTGTTTAAAGAGCAACTCACCCCCTACCAGAGTCTTACTAAACTCCCACTTCCTGAGAGCCACTAACACACACACACACACACACACACACACACACACACGCACGCACGCACGCACGCACGCACGCACACAGGCTGACAATGACATTGTGACATCATAATGGACCAACTAACGTGACAGTGTACTCTTAGCCAACAGCGGTGGCACATTTAAAGTCAAATGCAGTGCAGAGTTTTGACCTGAAGACGGCGCAACACTGACAGTTTTCGGCAGAATATTTAAATTTTAATTAAGATGCATTAAAGTGCCAAATTATTGACTACACACGTCTACAGCAAGAATTTGACACTCATTTATATAGTTCATCAGCCAAAAATGTATATTTGGGGGTGACTTGCTCTTTAATGTTTACAGGGCAGCTGGTGTTTAAAGCATTAATATATTTGGGAAAGGGACATCTTACCTAAATTGTTCTATTCAGTCATGGATGGAAGAAAAACACGGTATGAATGACTTTTACTGGCAAAACCTGTAGCGCTATACAGTCTATGGTGGTGAGCTAACAAGAAGCTAAAAACTTCTTATTGCTTGCACAATTTTGCTTCTTCCCAAGCTAAGATCAGATGGTCCCAACACCAAATCATATGGCTAGCACCTTATGCAAAACGGGCAAAACATGGTATTTACTGTTGGCTTTATATGGCTCACTTGAATTAGACTCAGTGTTTTTGATAAATAAAAGACACATAAATAGTACGAACAGTGTAAATAGTCTATTAGCCAATTACTCAAAATCAACCCTTTTAGGAAGAAAATGGAAGTCGCATCTAATCCTGGCGTTCCCTGATTACACGTTTACTTTTGACAAGTTCACTAAAGTTTAGCTGATCCGCCTCTCATCTTAAGAAGTTTCTTCAGTTCTGAAACGTGGGTTGGGAGTCGGAGGCTTAGAAGGTGTGGTCTGAAGCAAACATGCTGCTAGGCCAACAGGTGACCGAACCAGGTGAGCTGTGTTGGAAACTGGTTAGAGTCATCAGCACTAACGACATAAACGAGGAGCTGAATAGAGGGAGGGGCCAGGGAGTCATGTGACCTCAATGGACTGAGTAGTGAAAACAATAACCTCACCAGTGACTCCTGTATCAGCATGTTTGTTTCAGACCACATCTTTCATGCATTATAAAGTAAATTTGATAAAAACAAAGCAAAAAAAAAACAAACAAACCTGATAGCTCAGAGGTTCTAAGATGAACTGATTATGCATTAGTTTTATATATGTGATAATTGCTGCAAGTGTCGAGGCTGATAGAAAAAAAAAAGCCATGTTGATTTCCTCAGTTTTAAGAGGAGAGTTTTAAGATGAAAAGCAGAGTTGCGTTATGTCATATACAAGATGAAAATTATTTACAACCCTAATATTAGTGTTATTACTTCTAAAGTAGGGGAAAAAAACAACAACTTGTCTTTCTGATTTGGACTTGGCTATGTGAGTGAAGCTCATTCCCTGAAAGAGACACAAAGATATTTCTGCACTGACCCAAGAAATGAGCTGGAAGTTGTGAACGCCACAGGACAAAAGAGTGTTTTTTTGTTGTCGGGACGGTGAGTAGAAGTGGGCCAGACCTTTGTTTACGGCACATGAGCAGAGTGGTGTGTGGAGAGCTGCGACTCGGTTTGTGAATGAGCTAAAAATGTTCCAAACAAGCATCCAAACACAAGAGGAGTGACTGAAAGACTGTTAGTTCCACAGAAAAATGGGAACAGTTATTAAGCTTTTTGGGAATTTTCAAAAGTTTGATTTCATCTTCTACAAATTTGTATATTTATAAAAAAACAGTCTGATAACTAACACACCTCAGGTATTATTTGTCCTTATTTAAATAATTTTTAGCTTCACCAAGTGCACAAACACTGTTACGATACTATTCCAGGAGGCCGGAGACGTCTGTCCTCGGCAAGTTCAACAGACGGTTAAAGTTGTAGCTGAAACAGAAGGGCCATCTGTAAACAAGGTACGAAATTCAGGAACCACCAGAAAATGTTTGAAGCGGTTGTTTCCAGTCCTGGTCTGAGAAGCTCTCAGCGTGGCTGGCTTTCACAACAACCACAGAAAATGTAAATGCCTGTCAGAACGGGGAGCCAGGCCCAGGACTGAGAACCACTCAGAACCAGAAACAGATCGGGATGTGACAGTAAAGGTAGCAGGCCTCCTCTGAATGGATGATTCCATCCTTTGGCTGGGCGGATCTCTTCTTTTCTTCCCGTCTATCCATCCGGACTCCTCTGTACAACAAATGTCATGAACACTTTCCAAGTGTTCCTCATTCATTTTCTTCTTGAACACAAAAAAAAAACTCTTTTTGGTGACATGGGTGGGGGTGGGGGTGGGGGGCACAAGTGCAGTCTTACAGCCTTTTAACTACAACATAATTTTCTATTGATCTTTTAAAGGTGTCCTCATTATTGTGTGTCATTAATAACATCTTCATTTTTACTCGATGCATAAGTCTTTGTCACAACCTGGACATGCGAGTCACTGTGCGTAATGTCTTGTTCAGTTGGTCCAAGGGGAGGGGTCAAGTCCAGCTGTCCACACATTTCCCCCAAAACAGAGAGCAGTGGACGCCCTTTAGTCAACTAGTGGCTTGGGGTTCAGGTTTTGGGTCTAGATAGATTCTTTAGTCATAGAGCGATAAAATAGCCAAGCAAACCGTGTGTGTTTGTCTGCGTGTGTGTAGGAGTGTTTGCATGTGAAAGAGCAAGAGGTCATTCAAGTTGTTGATCAAAGTTTGAGACGAAGCTCTGGTGATTCAGACTGGTGTCTTCTCCTTCCCTATCCTCACACCTTAGCTTCCAGCAGCTCCAAGAAGAGTTTGTGCATTGGGACTTTTCCATCCTGCTTGATGCTGTAGAAGTGCTGCACAGCCTTGGTGGAGGTCTGACGGAGCAGGGGGAGGGTCATGAGCAGCTTGCCCGCCCGGCGGGGATCCTCCTGGTGTTGGGAAGCCTCATAGTCCTGCAGGGCCTCGTGGAGCACGTCCTGGAGCTTCTGCACTGCATCAACATCCTCAATATGCATTGAGTCTGGTGAGAGAGAGGAAACGTCATGTTAGAGTAGTAAAATAAAATTAAATAAAAAAACAGCACTGACTGATGCCCAAATATAAAACTGTACTGTAAATAAAGAGATTTTGCTAAACGGTTGGATTTAAACTTTAAACATAGTTTGTTCTGATTTAGTGAGCAGCAGAGCCTGCATGTGCTGCTGTGTTGCTCAACAGCATGCTGATTTTGTCTGGGAGGGGCCCGTGGCTTGAACTGAACAAACTTAATCTAAAATCCAAGCAAGAACAAAGCAGAGATTCTCAACCGAATCATATGTTCAGGTTGAAAATCCAATAAATGTAAATTCTATTGACTTTCTATTGATTTTGATGTCTGCGGCAGAAGTAACCACATTTGCATTTAAATAAAAAGCATTCAAATTTGTGATTTTGTACACTTGAATAAAAAACAAAAACAAAATTAAAGGCAGGAATGGGGTTTATCACAAAATCTAGTCAGGCACTCATCTTACCTCTGTCTTTAAAGTGTGCATGTGTGGGTGTGATGAATGGACAGGTGAAAAAACGAGGGGGAGGAGAAAAAATAGATGGACTCCTAGAATGATGAAGAGACGCTGCAACACCTAATAGTGTTTTCTTGTGTGTGTGTGTGTGTGTGTGTGTGTGTGTGTGTGTGTGTGTGTGTGTGTGTGTGTGTGTGTGTGTGCGTGTGTGTGTAGGTGCATGGCTGCAGACATCTGTAATCTCTCTGAGTTGGCGTTAGGTGTGTTTCAGCATGTACGGCAGTAAAGGATGAGAATGTCTCTCAGTAATAATGCTCCGTATCGCCCCTTAGGGAGGCAATGTCTTAATGTGAGCTGGCCTTTAGCTCTCAACCTCCGATCAATGTCTCCAATCAATGATTACATACATGTTAAATAATAATCACAAGCCTACTATCAATGGCCTCATCCGCACACTCTTACAAACTCTAACTCCACTTATAAGGACCTTTTCTTTAAGACTTTAAGGTTGTCATTTGGTACCAACAGAAACTCTGTCCAGACAAACATGCAGGCTCTCTCAGGCTCAGAAAGGACTAAAAGTAAACAAACCTCTGCACAGAAAGTAAGACGTGCAAAATGAAAATAAATAAAACAGATGAAATGAGTCAACACAGACACTTACACAGATTCACCAGCAACACAATCAAATGCACAGACTTGGATCTACGGAGTGTAATGCATGTATCAGTATGCAGGACCCGACTGGTCAGTGTGCTAAAATCTGGGAGGATCAATAGAAAGCTCGGCCTCAGAGTTTTGGCTTGAGGTCTTCTGTTGTATTTTTCCCCCTTAAAAATGTAGCAGTTGAACTAGGTTTTGCTTGTTGGATACGATCAGCAAATGCATTTTAGTCTGTTTAATGTACTTTTTGTTAAAATAACACCCTTGTGTTGGAACACACTAGAATTAATATGAATATTCTTGCAAAAACAATCCTCCACTCCGATTAAAGCTGAACGAGTATCGCATTCTTTTGTTTGTTATTTTAAAGCGTGCCGTCTAAGCTGCCGTTCGTGGCTTTTGCCTGTTTGACCCGCCGAACACTGACAAGTAAACCAGCAGGCGTTAATGAGCACAAGCAGGCTGCTGAAGCACACACGTTAACATGAAACTTGCACACACCACCGTGCGCGCACATACACAAACACACACGTGTGCCTTCTGTTTCCCATGGCCAGTTTAGCTTTCTTTACATGTGGGGCACGTTTGCTAACATTTCTTAAGGCTTGGCTTCATTAATGCAAACGATTAGCATCCTGTGAATTAATTAGTGTCAGTGCCCTTCAAAATGCTAATGCTAGCATTCTGTTGTCTTGAAGAGCAGTTAGAGCCGAGGCAATGAAACAAAGTTCTTACTGTATGTGGAATTCAGCCATTTTCGTTGGCTAAAGAAGTGAAGATTTTATGTCTTGGTCACTTTATGTAAAGATGTTTTTTATACAGCTGATCCTGTCGAAATGTTTTCTTTTGAGGATTCTCTTTTTTGTGGGGATTTTTTTTCACGATTTTCAAAATGTGGCTTTTTAATTAAAAAAAAGAATAAATGATGTTGACTGTTAAATTTATATTTTGTGTGCATGCATGCGTGTACACGCACACATTGATTGTCACACAAAGCTCAGGGAATAACAAAGTATCAATATTTTCTGCATTTGCATATGGAACGCTAAGTGTGATGAAATCACTTCTACAGTAAGTTTAAAAATCCACTCATTTTCTACAGTTGTAATATAATATCAACATCAGAGGAAATGAATGGTTCAACTTTAAGTTTCTATGTTGGTTTTTGTGCTTGTTTGTGAGTGTGTTGATGATGGTGACATTAAAGCCCCCCCACCTCCTCTGTGAAAGCTGTTGCACTGCATTCTCCTTTTTAAACACATCGTATTGACAGCTTTCCCCTTGTAATTAAAGAGTACTGAAGAGCTGGCCAGCTTCCAAGACAAAGTTCAAAAGATGGGTCATCAGAGGAAGAAGGTGTGTGTGTGCGTGTGCGTGTGTGTGTGTCAGTCAGCTGTCGATGCAGCTGGACACATCAGAGGCGGGGCTGTATCGACAGATTTAGAGTTCTAATGATTTCACTTTATTTAACAGGCATCTGAAGAGACAACTATGCTAATTATTAAAAGGGATTGCCACTTTGGGGGTGGAATTCAGTCTGAACACATCTGTGCACGTTTGTGCTTAACCGCATGCTAGTGGCGCATGCATAAAACAAAAATATGTGTAGGCGCATGTTACATCTGTAGCATGACACGACAACCGTGCGGGTCTACAGTGGAAGTTGGGAAAGTTAACTCATTCTTGTAAAAGGAAAAAAATAATTGTTATGAGTACATGTGCATCTTCTATAAGAGTGCGTTTGCATGCAGACTACTGAAATCACTTCACTGACGTGTCAGCTTAAATGAGCCTCGTGGGACTGAAGGTTCCTGGGATTGACTCTCTTCCAGCAGTCTAACGTGCAAACAGACAAGAACAACGTCTAACCTGAGTTTGCCAAGGCGATGGCCTTTAAGGTGACAAATTCCTCCTTCTCCAGTTTTACAGCTTTGTACTTCTTGACCAGCTGAAGGATGGCGTTGTTCAGGTCAAGGAGCCCAGCTAGTTTGGACTGGTCCTCATCCATGATGTAATCCTCCGCATACACCAGCTGGAGGAAAGCACAGAGAGCGTGACCCTGGAAAACTTAAAGCAGTGTATTTGATAACAACAGGAAAACAGAGATGGAACACGTACCTTGTCTTCAAACGACAGTGAACGGTACACGACGCGCAGAATTAATATCTCCATCCATGCACTCTGAAGTAGACTCATCTGGTCTGCTAAAGAAAGCGTGGAGAAACCTGGTGAAGAAAGAGGACTGAATGAGCACAGATGTTTTTGTTTTCTTGACCTACAATGCAGCAGAGTTAAGAAGTGATTTTTCCCCTTGTTACTAATATAAAAATAACACATTTTGAGCATTTTGTAGAACCTACATAGATGCCAACAGTAAAACCAAACAAAAAAGTTAGAAAATAAATAGTAGAAAAGTTTATTTAGTGAGAGATTGAAGAGCAACTCTGCTCTGTCTCCTTTACTCCCCCATCCATATGAGCCCTCCTCCTCCTCCTCCTCGACTTCCTCTCTCCCCTTTGCCCAGGGCTGTTCCCTGGGGGATGGCAGGTCTTATCTCCGCCTGCCACAGCCTCCACAGATCAATGCTGGCCATCGTGGCAGCACTGCTCAAAAACACATGCTAATTGTTGCTGTTGCCTCAAAAACGCTGTTTTCTTTAGTGTCAGTCTTGGCCCTGTTATCTGCTCGTGTCAGTCTATGATTGGCCATTTGTTTGTCTGATTCTTTTCATCTTGATACATCCTGACCTGAATGTCCCGTCTGTTCAGGCCAACCTGCTTTCCCAGCTGTGATTTGATTGCTTCCTGTTTTTTCACGTCCTTAAGTCTCTCACTTATCGTCTACGCTTCATTCTCTGGCTCTTTAATGGAACACCTGCCCACTCGCACCTCTCCTCACAGCTGTCTGCTCCTCACACACCTGTCCGTTCACACACGCCTGTCTGCGTATGTGTGTTTTCTGTGAGTGCACAGACAGTAGGCCACGCAGGCACACCTGTCGGACCTCGCTGCAGACTCCCAGTTTGTGTGTTCATGTGAATCTGAGAGGAGCAGCCTGCCAAGAAATGCAAGCAGATGAGAAAGAAG